TTCAAAGGATCCTTTGAAATATACCTGTGCAAAACAACCTTGGCTATCAGTCTTACTAACAGTATATAAGGTGGCCTCAGTGACATCTCTCAACAATGGAAAAACCCCAGACATTCTTGCATATAATCTCTACTCTGTGTCCCAAGCCAATCCTTGGAATTTCTCCCTTTATTGAGCCTGTCTCACTTCTGTAAACAACTCAATCAGCTGGGCTTTTGTAGCCTGCTTTGGTAGGGAAGCCTCAACAAGCTCACAGTTGTATGTGAACAGTGGCCAGCAGTTTGCTGCAGTCAATCTTTGGCTGGAGACCCACTCAAAATGTTCCAGCTACAGCCTCCACCCTCTGCTGTTTCTTAATCTCTTTTTCTCTTCCCCTGCCAACACCTACAAAGCCCAAAAGGGGAAAAACCCAGGAGACTTTGATTTCTTCATTTTGCTCATGCCATCGTTACTCATCTCTAGTGGGCCTGGCATCCATTCCTCTCTACTGTATTTGTTTTTAATGCCTACTCACTAGACTGAAAACAGCCTTTTAATATGGGGGGAAAATGGGGGAAACATTAGCCAAAACATACAGTTCCCCATTCTTTGCTTTTAGAGAATCTGTATATCAAATAAATAGAAATAAGGAAATATGTTGCCTTGGGCAAGATGGGCAATATACAAGATTGATAAGTAAATAAGGAAATCATACTTCTCTCCTCTTGGGTATTTCTGAAGTAAACCCTCAACCAAATTAGAGGTGGTATTCAGCAGGTTCTGATCAATTCTGGAGAACCGGTAGCGGAAATTTTCAGAGAACTGGTAAATACCACCTCTGGCTGTCCCTGCCCCATCTATTCTCTGCTTCCCAAGTCTCAGCTGATCGGGAGGGAATGGGAATTTTACAGTATCCTTCCCCTGGAGTGGGGAGGGAATGAGGATTTTGCAGTAACCTTCCCCTGGAATGGGGAGGGAATGGATATTTTACAGTATCCTTCACCTGACATGCCCACCAAGCCACACCCACCAAGCCACGTCCACAGAACTGAAAATTTTTTGAATCCCACCACTGGACCTTGGGGGTCTTCCTGCTCAACCCCTTCACAGGCAGGAGAGCCTATATATTATTCTGGACACATATGAAAAAAATGACAAGAAAGTCTAAAATCATAAAGCAAAAGAAGAAGTAAAATAGATTAAAAGGGAAAGGAAGGGAAAATAATGGAATTAAGCATCCTTAGAAATTACCACCAAAGTTCAGGAGTTCTCTTGAGAGACAACTGTTGTGTTTTATCAATCTATGTTCCTTTTACAAGTTAGAATGAAGTTACATTCCCCTTTGCTGATTTCCAAAACCCTGTTACATAGGAACACTAAGCACATTTCACAGCACCTTACAAAAACATTGTTATACTAATTTGACTCCCTCCCCAAGATTCACCCGCCAACACCAAGAGGAACAGGAAAAAAGGCGCCTTCTCTGCCTGGTGCCCCATACCACTGTGCCCCGAAAGCCAGCTGGAACCCCCCAAAGCGGCTGGTTAATTAGCTTCCCCACTTCAGTCAAGTGAAGCCTCTGCCAGGAGGGGGTGGGCGCAATCCAATCCGAATGGGAGCCAACAGCCGTCGCTCGTTCCCTGCTGGCTCTAGATTGTCCTGGGAACTGGCAAGTGTGAGCAAGAGAGGGCGGAAGACATCCGCTTTCTCTCCCCGCCGCCTAAGTCCGGCTGCACAACCAACCACAGAGCAAAACTTTCCCTGCCTCTGCCCCGAGAGTGGAGAGGTATAACTTCTGTGAAATAAATCAGCCTGGATGTTCTGCAGCTTGGAGCAGAATCGGCAAGGACTCTAACCATTATGCAAAGAAAGCCCAGGAACGCAAAAGTTAGCGCCGGGAGCATTGAAAATCATGTGCGGCACTTGGAAACTGCTGCACGGTGTTTCCATATTATGTGTGCGGCCGCACAGGCGCGCACCTTAGAGAGAACACTGCCGGAGTCCTCCGGGATTGGGCAGCCTATAAATTTAATAAATGTATGAATGAATGACTCTCATTCTGCAGGTTGAATCTATTCTACTGAAAAAATACATAAGTAGTGTATTTTAAGTAGTGAATAGAGAGCCAGTTTGGAGTAATGGGTTAAAGCTGTGATGGCTAACCTATTCGTCGCTCTGTGCCAAAAGCGCAAGTGTGCACGCAGACCCATAATGCAATGTCCACGCAACCCCCTGTACTCCCCCCGCCCCCATGCATGCACACGTGTCTCCTGATGAACCCCATCCCCTACGCATGTGCAACAGAGACTTGAAAACAAGCTGGCTGGTGGGAGATGTGCGCACATGCGCGGTGGAGCTGAGCTGGGGCTATGGCTCGCATGCCTGCAGAGAGGGCTCTGTGTGCCACCTGTGGTACGCGTTCCATAGGTTCGCCATCACAGGGTTAAAGCAACAGACAGGCCAGAAAGTGGAAGATTGTGAGATCTAGTCTGGCCTTAGCTGTAAAAGCTGTAAAAGCTAAGCTGAATGACCTTGAGGCAGTCACTTTCTCTCAACCCAACTCACCTCACAGGATTGTTGTTTTGGGGAAAATAGGAGGAGGAAGGAGTGTTGGATATCTTCACTGCCTTGAGTTATTTGTAAAAATAATAAAGGCAGGATAGAAATAAATATTAACAAAGTTACTCTAATCAGCCAAAAAACAAAACATAAACGCCCAAAGGGGACCTATAGTATACAAAGGATGGAGAATATTGATCTTTATGTGGGGAATTGCATGGGGAATTGCACTCATAGAAGCCAATACATTTGTAAGATGAAACATATTATGCCATTTCCCCCCTCAATCTGCTTTGCATGGTGAGAGGATTCAAATCGCTTTTCTCTAGAAGGAGTGGTTCGAATATCACTCACTTTAAACTGAACAAGAAATCTCACAATAACTCACAAAATCCAGGACCTAGGGTCAGCCCTTATTTTCTGTGCACATAGCTAAGAAAAAGTGAAATTGCTGCAAGTGATATAGAGTACATTGTTTTTTGTGATTATTTGCTTGAAAAGAAACCTAAAGCCAAAAGAGAAAATCAGGCATCCTTTCTCTCTCTGCTTGATGCCAAAGGGTTAAAGTCACTCCAGGTTCTTGAAAACAGTTACTTCCAAGTCAGCATCTGGCTGCTGCTGTGGTTAGTGGGAAGGATTTTGCTTTTTAACAGCATTATAAATAGGGCTGTGTTCAACATGCTGCAGACTTACTTTCTCTTTCATTCAACCTTCTCCCTCCTCCTGCATGTCTACAACAGCTCTGTAGGCATGGACCCATCAAACATCTTGCTCAAATCCATTGCCTTGCTTATATGCCTTCTTCCTGTTCTTCAGGCCTGTCCTCAGAATTGTCATTGTCATGGAGGAGACCTCCACCATGTCATTTGTGACAATGTTGGATTGAGAAGGATTCCCAAAGTAGCTGAGCAGACTCGGCTTCTCAATCTGCAGAGGAACAATTTCCCTGTGCTGCCGACCAATGGTTTCAGAGAGATGAAAAATCTTGTATCTCTTCACCTCCAACATTCCCACATCAAAGAAATCTCCAGTGGAGCTTTCCGCGGCCTGAAGCAGCTGGTCTACCTTTACTTGTCAAATAATGACATCAGTACCATAAAGATGGGAGCCTTTGATGACCTGGCAGAACTTACTTACCTCTACCTAGATCATAACAAGGTATCTGATCTGCCCACGGGGCTCCTTTCTCCACTGATTAATCTTTTCATCCTGCAACTAGGTAACAACAGGCTCCGAGAGCTGAGATCAGGAGCCTTTCATGGTACTAAGAATCTTCGCTGGCTCTATCTCTCTAATAACTCAATCTCCTCCATCCAACCTGGGGCATTGGATGATGTGGAAAACCTAGCCATATTCCACTTGGATAAGAACCAGCTAAGCAGCTACCCTGTGTCTGCCATGAGCAAATTAAGGGTGGTGGAAGACCTGAAGCTCTCAAACAACCCAATAAAGTCTATTCCAGATTTAGCCTTCCAATCTTTTGGACGGTACATGGAGACTCTCAGCTTGGACAACATGGGATTAGAAAAGGTAAGAATTTCTCAGAGCTTTCTGCCTTCTTTTTCCTTCTTTCTACAATGTGTAATGTATCAATTTGTCCATTTGTCAAATCCCATCATTTGGCAACATAACCAAGAAATAGAGGATGAATTCTACACAGTCAGGGACAGATTCGGTCCATGCCTCAAAGGGAAACTCTCAAGCACAACTTTTTACTTTCTCTGACAGGAATGAATACTACTATCATTATTCTGAGTTATTCCTTATAATCCAATTGGGGGATGACAGGAGTAGGGTGGGGGAGGAAATAGAATACTACAATTAGGAAAAGCATTGCAGGAGTATTAAAACTTTACATTTAGATTATATAGGGTCCTAAAAACAGACCTTTGATTGGCGCAAAATATATAGCTCTCAATCAAAAGGGGGGGAGGGAAGTCTTTCAAAACAGAAGTTAAACCACAAGGAAAGGAATTGCACATTTCCTCCCTCCACAGACAAGTCTGTGTCTGCCTTGAAATGGTTATTTATTTGTTCAGAAACTGGGGACATCTTCTGATTGGCAAAGAAAATGGAACCAGATTCGATTATTATGCCTGGTCACCTTCATGGTGAGGTGACCCAGAAGAATGGAACTGAGGAAAAGGAAGGGGGACCCTGCTTCTTTCCTTTCCACTCACCCTTTGTATTGTAATATCAGAGCTCAAAGACTAAGGGACCATCACTTTTCAATAGCACGGTCTCTGCTGGTTTGAAAGATGAAAGCAAAAAGGATAGAAGATCTTAAATCAGTGTTTCCCAACCTTGGCCACTTTAAGATGTTGTGGACCTCAACTCCCAAAATTATCCAGCTCAGCATGTCTGCAAACAATAATCAGATAACAGTACAAAGATGATGGAAAGGAAAAGAAATGTTTCTCTGGAGCAAAAGGCTACAGTTACACAGGTATTAGTTGTCCATTTAATAAGCTGTACACAAGACCATTAGTCTTCTAATTAGCAGATTGGCAGTCAGGTTCGGCTGGGTTACATGGATTTTTATTCAATAAAAGTGGTTCTCCATATTTAGATTCTGAACTAAATTTATCTGGGCAGGAAAAAAACAGCAAACACTCTCTGTCTTGCATTGTGCTTGTTTGCTTGTTTATTCTATTTATTTTACTTATCAAATTTATATTGCCACCTATCTCTGTAGTCAGCTTACAGAGGCTTTTTCTTTCCCTGTAACAGAAGTTAAATAAATTCTGTTTTGTTGTCCTTCTTTTTCACAACTTCTTACTTGCCTCCACCATACCGCTACTCATTTCATCTCCTCTTTTCCTTACTGTCTTTATCTCATCTGTGAAATATTGTTTATGAGCATTTATTCACCAGTTTTGTTTTATTTATTAGCTGGCATACTGCTGACCTAAATAAAGGAAATTACCCTTAAAGAGAGAGGGGGAGGGAGGGAGGGAGAGAGGGAGAGGGAGAGGGAGAGGGAGAGGGA